AGATATAAATATACTATCGCAGTCGTTTTTAGATCATTTAAAGAAGAATTATTATACATATATGTCATAATCATGTCATATATATATTATTTGGTTAAACTTACTTAAACAGTTTTCGCAACATTTATCACATTAAAAATAATTAAAAATCTATTTAGATTAAAAAAAAACTAACAACAGCGGTCCGTGCTGTTGCTCTAACCAATTGAGCTACCGTGTCCTACGCATCGTCGTCGAAATTTTTCAATCTGTTGATACATGCAGCAATAACGCAATATGCTTGTCAACAATAAAGAATTAAATACAATATTTGTGTAAATAGTGCTGAAATAGTCATGTAATGATACGGAACCATTCGTGCGCAAGTCAAACTCGCACTTAGCTGTTTCTTTATTACTATTGCTGACAGCGTACCGTCAACAATAACAAGCGAATACGATAGCCAATTTAAAGAAAACGTAGTGTTTAATGTACTTGAAACCGCAATCACGCGCATCCGTATTCAATGATCTCGGACGTTTATTGCAAACCATCATTTGCATCGATACGATAGTGATCGACAACAGAATTGGTTTTATCTTGCGGCGGGCAATTGGCGGTTCGTCTGATGATTTAACGACAGATTATTCTCATTAGGCAAATCCAAAATCAATAATCTACACCAAAAAGCTAAAGAAAACGGTTGTCTGTATTTTTAAGTATTGCCAGTGTTCGACACAATAATATGAAAAAACTGTCTGTATGTACACGCATATCTCCGAAATTACTGAATGTATCTTTTTAAGCTCAGCTTCGTGAAAAACATTTTTCACTTGTTAGTGTTGTACGCTATATATAGCTTGTAAGCTATTTATATAAAAATCGGACGACATCCATTTAAAATTTAATTATTTATTCAAATCTGCCGCTAGTCAAACTCAAATACTTTTAAACGTCACACCACTTAAAACATTTCAGACAAGATTCTTAACTTATGTTTACTACCTATATGATTACCTATGCTAGTTATAAATTTGTACACTTGGACATTAAGTAAATTTAAAGTTAATAACTAACATGCACCCCGTTTCGATTTTTTTTTTAATATAGGTACAACTTGAATTGTATCTTGTATTGCATTGTGAATGGAATACAATCATCCAAATTCTAGACTTCATATGATTTTACCAACTCATGTTAAATTTTGCGACCACGTAGTTATGGTTACTTTGTATGTCTGCGACAATGCCTCGTTTGAATTTTCACTTCACGGCCAATTTAAATGACAGGGGAAGCACGAAGAAAAGAACTTTCACAAATTACTAGAAACTTAAACCTTATCGTTTCTACACGTACGCAATAAACCAACCAGTTTCTAAATAAATATACTGTGTAATTATGTACCTATATACAACATACATAAAATGTATATGACTTGAGGTTGTGAAGTGCGAATACGTAATTTGCAGTTAAGTCTGCGAATGGAATTTACGAGCGAAACTCAAAAGTCCATTATAATATACTTATTAACCATCCATACCTAAATCATTGTCTCTTATTAACAAAACTAATACAAATTTAAATAAGTAGTTAAGTCCTGTCACTTGCCTCGACGTTTCTAAATTTCGCACATTTTTTTATTACAGGAGATAGACACACATGGGACTCCCTTGATAGTGGAACGAGATTTCAGTTCAACAAGATTTTCTAGATGGCACCTTTCATGTTTCAGAAAACTTGTTGGACCCGGTGGGAACCGATTCCAGAACCCCTTGGTAGCCATACATCGTTACCATTGGATTTATTACCAACGACGACGACTTACTAATCATTAGAATAAATATTATAAAGCTGGAGAGTTTATGAACAAACTGAACTCCAAACTCAGGTCGGAATTGAAATTCCTTTTGTTGGTTGGAGCATTTATCGAAGGCTTTAGGCTATAAAACATAAGGCTGCGATCAATAAGAGCGAAGAAAAATTGGAAAATGTGGTAAAAAACCTTTGAGGGTTTCCGTTACATGCGCTGTAAAAACGATTCAAGATACCCTAAAAATGTATCAAAAAACTATGCTTCTCCATAGAAGCATAGTTTTTTGATACATTTTTAGGGTATCTTGAATCGTTTTTACACACACATGGGACTCCCTTGATAGTGGAACGAGATTTCAGTTCAACGTGCGTTTAACTTTAGATTTTTTTATTTTTCCATAAAAATAAAAAAATCTAAAGTTAAACGCACATGAACAGTGTTTATGAGAGTTCAATTCGGTTGAAAGACTATTTATGGTAAATGAACGTTTGCCAGGTCTGCTACTCTATACTAATATTATAAAGTATAGAAATTCGCGAACGCGTGCACGGGACACTTACACTGAACGCTCGCAGCGGCTCCTGAACCAGCGAGATAGACCACGGTCGTTAACAGAGAGGACGCGCAATACAATTTTTTTTCTAATTTAGTGATTCATGGTCGTTGTAATTAGCATGCTTATAATTTAATTATTTGTACTTATTTATGTCTACCCGTGCGAAGCCGGGACAGGGCCGCTAGTAAATAATAAATTGAGTCAAGTTATTTCCATAGCTGTTGGCATTTGATTTAAATACGCCATTACGAGTAACCAGGCCTTCGATTCAGAACGAGCCTTAAATGCAAAAGTTAAATAGCAAATGACCCGGCGATAGGGCGTCTAGCTCTCATGCGACTACGAAACAAGGCCGCGTACGCCGGATGCGACGCTAGGTCGATCTTCGCATTCCATTTAACTACGCCTCGCAAATTAGTGTTTATTTACAGTAATTTCAATAATAAGCTAAGTTTAAATAAAACACTTTACGGGCTTAAAACGCAATGTATATTAGTTACACTTATTTGACAATTATTTTTAATTTCAGCCCGACGGAACAGATTGCGCTAGCGTAGCAATTTTTACGTTAACGTCAGAGACATCCTCCATCTTTAGTCTCCCCGTGATAACGGCTGCTGCAAAGCATCAAAAACTATATATATAGCGCGTTTTAAACCGTTAGTGTTTTATTTAGATATGTACTACTCACGTTACTCACCCCCTAGTACAGAAAGTTTATAAGTAAGTTAAGTTTTAAAATGATTATTAAAATTATTCACAAAAAGTAAGTTATCTTTTAAGAGATCCCCTTTTAGGTTTAAGTAAAGCGCGGCGTGTTAGTAACTTATTGTATATTTTCAGAAATCTCAATAGCTTTGCATAGAGGCCCAAAAATTATATTATAGAAAAATTATATTTATACATAAATAAATTTTCTATTGATAAAATAAGAAAATAAATATTATTTAATCATTATTTTTGTCCATTCAACTAACTGATGTATACACCAATGCACAGCGTAACCAGTACATTAGTTTTTAGTCTACTAATTAGACTAAAAATTATTGTCACTTAGTATATAGATTTGATAGGAAGGAATTACCTAGAGTACCTGTTAGTCGGCCATTACATAGGTACATTTACTTAGCCTAGTCCTAACAAAAAACTTATACTAAACACAGGTTATAAATAAGTAAATTTGTATTCTTCCAAGTTGGCTCATTATAGATAAGCACTGAAATAGAAATGAAGTAAAAAAATAAAAATGTATTTAATCAGTATGTATGTAGTAAAGAAAGTAAAATTTATAAGGTTTATTTCACGTTTGCGAATTGTTTCCACAAGCAGAAAACCTATATGTACTAATATAATTTAAAATAATTAAATGTTTTATTTCATAGTTTTGTTATAATTAACTTATATTCCATTTAACAATTAATATACATATAGTCATTATTTTTTCTTTTTAGCCTAGTAAATAAACAAAATACTATTGTTTCTGCTGCACAATTACTGAGCAATGTTATAATAAAAAATGTTTGTGTGATGTGTTGGTTAATAAATTAGCATTTTAAATTCCAATGTGTACAATAACAAAATTAGAATATACATGTATACTAACAATGTGTGTGTAGTTACTTATAGCAAGTGTCATTGTTTAAGTTTCGTTTGTAATAATATGAGAGAAAAGAAAGTAATTTAAGCCACACAATGTATAAACTAATATACGATATATGCATAGTAATACATATTCAGAAGCGACTCTATTTATATGGTGTACAAAAGTAGAATACCAATAAATTAGTAGGTAGTCTCAAGTGGAATGTTACGAATATTCATTGCCTTACCTTGCCCACATTTCTCCGACTTAGGAGTTGAAGTCATTATTCCTAACTAATCAGTCCACTGTCATATTAATAATATAATGGGGTTAACACTTTTTATAAAACTTTAAACAGTCTTTTGTAATTTAATCGACCGGCAGCCATATTTTAACCATAATTTCGTACTATACCAATTGACTATGACTGACAACTGATAATTGTCAAGATTTCATTAAATTAATGTCAAGTAAAATCGCTACCTATAACAATATAATTTTGTATGCGGATATTATAAAGGATTGTAATTATTACTGTTTTTGTTGCATTTGCTTAATGGGTTGGACAAACGAAGCCAGTTTTATGTTTTATTATTTTATAGTGTTTTTATTGTTTATTTTGACTGTGGATTATTTCACGTATTATACTCTTGAGAGTGTACGTGATCGAATAAAGATTTTCGTAAATTTAAAAATGTTAAACTGATTTAACACAAAGTATTATTGACTTTTACTTTATCTTGAAGAAACTTTCTTTGTTCTATCTCATTCATATTTTATCTGTCTCACATCTAATTGTAAAATCCAAACTTAGTTGTTTCTAGAGGATTCGAGAAATGACAGCTTTCACTGACGTTCGATACTTGACAGTGATGTGAGCATTGCTATGCATTGTTGCACAGCTTTTTATTATTTTAATAAAAATAATTGGAAAATATGGCTAGAAATGTGAATTCAAAATTGTGAAGTTAGTTTTTGTTTTGTGTGCTATGCCACTGTTATAATAACCCGAATCTTGGTGATCTTGCTTCTTAAAGTTTGTTTGTAAACGCCAGCTAGACGACGGAATCATGGCGGACCCTCTAAGTTTGCTGCGACAGTATAATGTTAATAAAAAAGAAATAATAGAACGAGATAACCAAATAATATTTGGCGAATTTTCATGGCCAAAGAATGTCAAGACAAATTACTTTATGTGGGGGTGAGTAACTCGTAGTTATCAATAGAAAGTTAACCTATTACCTAATTGAGTGAACGTATCAACTATCAACATCCATGATGATTTTCTTTAAGGTCTGGAAAAGAGGGAGCTGAAAAGGAATACTATACTCTGGAATGTCTTCTATTTATTTTAAAGAATATTCAAATAACTCACCCGATTTACGTAAAACAGGCAGCTGTAAGTAAGAAATGAATATAAAATGTGACATCCAACAACTTGGCACATAAAACTTATTAATCATCTACAGGCAGCCAATATCCCTCCTGTACGTCGTCCGGACCGGAAGGAATTACTTGCATATTTAAATGGTGAAACTGCCACATGTTCATCTATAGATAAGAGTGCACCTTTGGAAATTCCAACACAGGTATTTTTAAATACTTTTGTGGTTTAATATATTGTATGTTTTCTCATAATATTCTATTTAATTTAGGTTAAACGCACACATGAGCATGATGGGGGAGAATCAGCTGCAAAGAAGCCTCGAATTGAGGAGATCCATGTTCAAAAAGTCCGGGAGCAGCTCGCTGCACGTCTGGATGCACCTAAAGAAGCCTCTGTCACAGTTGACAATATTAAGTAGGTTTTATGTAACAATCTTGATAATTGTCGGCTCTATGATGAAAAACTTGAAGGCATTTAGGTTAGCAATGCGTGAATTTTTATACTGGCATGTTACCATTAAATACATAAAATATTCCTCTTACATCCATGTCATCCTCCATACTTATAAATAGAAGGATAAGAGCAAGATGAAATTAATAAGTAAATGTAAACAGGTCTCTGTCTGAGGCTATGTCAGTTGAGAAGATAGCAGCCATCAAAGCTAAACGTCTAGCTAAGAAGAGGACAACAATCAAAAGTAATGACTATACCGATGCACTTGGTGTGGTGGGATCTGACCTGCGAGCTATTTTAGACTATGATGTCGATCTCACTAAGGACATAATTAGTCGAGAAAGGCAATGGAGAACAAGGACAACAGTATTACAGAGCAATGGAAAGGTATGAATTTATATTTATGTACAAATTTTTACTTTTTATAAAGAACACTTAGTATTATTTTAGTATTATCAATCTGAAGAAGTTCCTAATATGTTATAATTATCTTTTGAAAGATATTCCTTTTTTTTTAATTATGGTAGAAATGAGAATGTTAAATTCATCAATGAAAAACCTGCTGAGTTATAAAACAATGATATCTGATTTCTCTTCTTATATTATAGGATAGTTTTTAGTACTATGTTTTAACTAGGGCATATTACTTTGTAGACATTTTCAAAAAGCATCAATGCTCTACTCGGAAGTATAAAAGCTCGGGAGGAGGGCAGGTCTGGTGTGCCCAGACCACAGCCTGTGGTGATGCCTCAACCAAATTCGATACCTGCACAGCAGACTCAGTATAACAGATATGACCAGGAAAGATTTATTAGGCAAAAGGAAGGTATGAGACATTTTATTTAACTAGATGTGAAATTACTTGCATATTATTTATTACCAAAAATATATAAGAATTTTGCTTTATTATATCTATATATGTAACATACAATATGTCAAGATACAACCCTATATTTATTTGTATAAGATGTGCATCTGCAGAGGAGATGAATTTACACAGTTGGCTATTTATTTCAGAAACGGAGGGCTTCAAAATTGATACTATGGGGACCTACCATGGTATGACTCTCAAGTCGGTGACAGAAGGACCAAGTGTTCCTGTGGCGGCCAGAGCGCCTCCTACACCTAATCACCCGAGGCAGATGCCACGTAAGTTATAACTAATTTCCAATTAGATAATTGAGATAAAGGAAGTATAATATAATATGGACTAAATATGTTTACTCGAACTCTCGATAGTTAACTACGCATGATTTCCTTTTGTGAATGCATTGTGCATTTCAATATTGACCTGGGTAACACAACACTTAAATATTCTATAGGAATATTATAAAACTGAACATTTCGTTTGTTTGTTTGAACATGTCAATCTCAGGAACTACTGATTTGAATTGAATAATTAATTTTGTAAAAGGCTATAAAACTCAAACACACCCATCAGGCTATGGCCTACAGGACCGTTTATATGACAAAAAAAAAATTGTTTGCCAGGTCAGCTAGTTATTGATATGTATAGTTTATGTAGTAAAGAAAACCAATTTGTGATATTTACAGAAAGTGGACCCATGCCTGCTACACCAATTCGTAAAGAACTCCTTCCCGTAGCAGCTGCGCGCACGCCTCTAGGTGGCAGCAAGAGACCATCACGAACGCCCATCATCATCATACCAGCAGCGACTACATCGCTCATATCCATGTTCAATGTGAAAGACATGCTACAAGACCTTAAGTATGTCACACATTATAAGACAATACTGAATGAAGCTCGCTAATTGAAAATACTATCCTGGATTTGCTTACCACCAATGATCACCTGATACAGAGAATAGGGACTGTTAGTTTCTACTAAAACTTCTATCTATGTCAGAAAAAAGCTGATAGGCAAATTCATTTACAAGTCTCATACAATTATACATATACAGATGTTGATATAATAGGTCGACAGTATTGCATCTTGTTTAGGTTTTATATGGCTGGCTGTATTGGACCTTCCATTAAGGGGTCCCCATGTTTGTATTTTTTTAAAATAGAAAGGCAGCTCTATCATTTAAAAAAGTCAATCCATTAAGAGTAGATCCTATAGGAAGACATTTAAATTATTTTTTATCTTCCTACTAGATTTATCTAACCCTTTTTCAGATTCGTTTCTGTGGAGCAAAAGAAGGCAGAGGGTGTGTCACGCGAAAATGAAGTACTACTGCAAAGAAGAAAGGGACCCACAGGCGATGTACCTAATAATGCGACAACTATGACTGTAAGTTTTGTTCCAATTATAGTCCGCTTTAAGACACTCTTGGTCTATCCGCAAAGAAAAATCAGTCAAACCAATAAACCATATACAACTATCTATGTACTGAATTTGATTACTTTAAATAAATTAACACATTTAAATAAAACACTTTAACGGTTTAAAACGCGACGATATGCTAGTTAAACTTATTTGATAATGATTTTTAACTTCGGCTTCTCGTTTTAACTAATATATCGCGTTTTAAACCGTTAAAGTGTTTTACTTAAATGTGTACTATTCGCGTAAACTATAGACAGTATTTAATTATTAAATTTAACACAATTTGTAAAATCCTAAGGCAAAGGTTAGGAACATAGAATACAATAAAGTTTTAAATATTGCAACAATATTTTATCTTAAGTATTTTATTAATGTTATTATTGAATATAAATAAGGTAATAATTTGGTTAGTATTATCATATTGTGTATGTAACTTCGTGACGATCACAGAAAGTTTCAACCCTTAAACATTTAATTTTTGACACATATCTAGGTAAATAACTTTTTATTTGTTTAACTGTTTTTTAATTTAATTTATAAAACTCTTATGTCTAGATTAATAAGAACCCATCTTATATTTGTTTTTAAGATTCTTCTTCTTTGTTTATTTTTTTACTATTTAGTATAAATCGAGTTATTTTATTTTAGAGTTTCTTGTTTTAAAACATTTTGTTATTTTTTTATTTTGCTGTACAAAATAAGATATGTATTTCAGGTACCATATAGAGTGGTGGACAATCCTAGTCGGCTCACCGCTGCCGAGTGGGACAGAGTTGTAGCTGTGTTTGTGCAAGGTCCGGCTTGGCAGTTCAAAGGCTGGCCATGGGATGGAAATCCTGTTCAGATATTTGCTAATAGTGAGTATCTTTTTATATATGAAACCATAGGATTTGATGCTGTAAGTTGAAAAGGATTTATTGTCATGTGTCATGATTTGTCATAGGATAGGGAGACAAATAAAAGGGTCAAATCGTTTTATCAGTCATGCTTTTTGATAGATCAAAATAAAGAGATGTGAAAACTCCACTTCCTTTAATTTTTTCTCTAGAAACGTCAGTTTTAATGTCGGTTAAATTAATTAGTAAATTAAAAGAAATAACGACGGCTTTCTTTAACGGGCTAATAATCAACGGGTCTTGGATTCGATCTCCACTGGTATATTAAATGTCCACAGATGAAAAGGCTGTTAAGTTTAATCGCGTTTCGGTTTCAGTCTGTGGATTTCCAAATATCTAAAGTCTATGGCTAGAGGTATTTCATCTACCATCAAGGGAACCCTATACTTGTCTGTAACGTATTATGATTTCGTTCTCAGTATGCGCTTTCCATCTGAAATATGACGAAATGAAACTGGACGCGAATGTGGCGCGCTGGGCGGTCACGGTGCTCAACTTGAGCCGCACTAAACGCCATCTCGACCGTGCTGTTATGCTCGGCTTCTGGGAAACACTTGACAAGTATGTGATTTGAACCAACTAAGTTTCGATAGTGAAATTGGCTATACTACTCACCTACTTGGAATGGCTGACTAATAATCATTGAGATGTGAAAGATTGAGGGTTCGATACCCACCAGACCCACGATTTTGGAATTTATCTGGATATTAAATGGGTACGATAAAGTGGACACCATGCTTATCTGTCTTCTTCTATCATTAAAAAAAGAAAACTTATATTTTCTATGAAACATATTAATTTATACATATTAATTTTATCATTAAAAACTAAATGTATGTACATTTTGTTGACATCCATATTTGTTTATGAATAAGCCATATTGTACATTATTTACGATAGATATATTTTGCACTTATACAAACAGAAAGCTCTTTGGATATTCTAATGAATGCTACAGACAGAATCAGACATCAACGGCTTGTTCTTGTCTGTAAATAAAAATGTTTGTTCTTTGTCTTACAGTTCCGTCATTAATAGTATATTATTTGTTTCAGGCACATGATGAAGAATAAACCGCACCTTAGGTTTTAGTTTTGTTATAGTTTTATCCAATAGAAGATATATCGTGTGAATATATGGACGCCTTACTAGCAAACGAATCTAAGTCAATTCGTACCATTTAATAATTAACACTATTCGATACACATACAGATAAAAACCGTTATATACCTATAAAAAAATCATTAAGGCATGTAATCTATAATACTAAAAGTAAAATCTAGCTAAAGATAAGTTTAATCTTATTATTAGAGCGACTACAATACTTGTCACAGAATACTGAACCAACCAGTAACGGCAAACGAAAGTGGCGACACGTCTACACCAAATCGGCGTAGTATTAAAACAAGTTATTTTTACCCCGTCGATGAAAGTCGGTAAATTTTTCGCCGTGGCTCAGTGGTTAAACGCGTTGCTTAGCACGTGAGAAGTCTTCGGTTTAAACGCCGGAGAAAAAACGAACTTGTTTTAGTTGGGCCGGACATAGAAAGATGATCAACTACTTCCGTAGTTAGTAAATAAATGATGAAACAAACTAAGAAATTCGTTGGTTCCGATTTCACCTTCGCTACACAGTTGAGTGTTTTAGACACAACGCGCTACAAACAATTTTAAACGAATCGTCCTTCTGGTCAAATCAGTATTCTGTGTAAATTTTATACGTAAGGTTTCGTTAGTGTTAAATACGATACACTAACTATAAATACACTACTTTATCGTGGTCTGGCTGTGCTTATCAATACATATGATAAAATTAAAACAATTCTATTAATGTATTTAGTATGTACCCTCGTAACTGATTTGAAAAACATGATGAAATTTCAAATTATATACTTTTTTAGACAGTTCGGATTCTACGACAAAACAATAAAACCAATTTTAAGCAAACAAACGATAGCTGGAAATTATTATTATGTTAAAGTCAAACATATAATGGCAATCTATTTAATTTTTTCTAGAATCGTTTAAAAGTCTACATAAACAGCTGACCTCTACGGAGAATCTTAGGTTATCCAGGTTAATTCTGGTGCATTGCTTCGGTATTTATAATCTAAACAAACTTTTCAGCTTTATATTAAGCTGAAGAGTTTGTTTGTTTGAACACGCTAATCTCAAGAACTACTGAGGGGAATTTGGGGAAAATTTCTTTTTGTGTTGGTTAGAGCATTTATCGACAAATCGCCAAATAAGAGCGTTGACACAGTGGGAAATGAGAAAAAACGGGGAAATCATCTTTGAGGGTTTCTGTTGCGTGCGCTGGGAAAACTGTTTAAGATACCCAAAATATATAAACACATAAAAGAATGATTCCTCTTTACGTAGTCTAAAAATGTTCGCGACAGTATATTTTTATCTTTTAAGAATAACTTGCAAGAACGACGTCGTGGACAACAGCTTAAATCTATAAAGCGAGGAGGAGGTTAGAAAAATAAAAATTTGATGCCCAAAATAACTAATCTACGCGGACGAAGTCACTGACACAGCTAGTTATAATAAAATTTTCAGAACGTAGTTTAAAAGTAGGAGATGCCACAACTCCGTATTTCTAAAACCACATTAAGCATGACAGTCCCAGAACCACTAATTCGGTGGATATAGTCGTAAAACCCACCAAGCCACTCTGGAAATGTACCTAAACTTCTCTTGCAATATTAATTACATTTTGCAAATTATCTCGTAGCCTATAAAGCCACATCCTCTTAAAATTATTAAGTCTGACGACATATAGACAGATATAATTTATTTTATATTACAAACGATAAGATCTAACTGAAATTTTAGCTTTTCAATTAAAATAACACGAGTCACTGACCTCTCTCTCGTCAACAGTTTAAAACAATAAAATTTAAGTGGTACTATTTTTATTATACAGTGATCGTTTCTCTTCTGATAATAAAATCGACCTCTACATTCACCAGCCTTGGCAATCAGTTAATATGTTCGAGATATATAAGAATAGACTTATGTATACTAATATTAAAGCATAAGAGCTTGTTTGTTTGTACGCGCTAAGCTCAGGAACTACTGTTTCGAATTGAAAAAATCTTGTGTTGGTTAGAGCATTTATCGAGGAAGGTTGTAGGCTAAAAACGGGGAAAATAATTCATCCATGTGGGTTTCTAATGCGTACGCTGCGAAAAGGGTCAATATGCCATTTAAAATTAACTTGCAAGAACGATGGGACGCAAGCGGCGATAATGAAGAGTTGGTTCGCATACACAAACTTGGATGCCCAAACAAGTATTCTACGCGGACGAAGTCGCTGTCACAGTTAGTTTCAGTATATTTAAGTATAAATAGCGGTTCTTGATGTAAGTACATTTGTTGTATCTCGACAAATGTTACGTGCGTTAATGTTACATAAATAATGTAGATAATATATTACAAAAATAACTAGCTTTGCCCGTATGCTATATATGAAACATATCAGAAAATACAAGTTAAATAAAATAGTACCAGGAAAAAAGGTCTGTTAGTTCCGACGCGTCGACTAATTAATATTGGCGACGATTCATTGTTTTAGACGGTCAAAAGTGTTTTATACAAAATACTAGACTAGTAAGCACCATTGTTTGTATAAAACATATGTATTGGAAATGTGTTTTTTTAACCACAAGTAATCTTTGTTACTCTACAATTTTTAAAATGACGGGTTCTAATTTTTCATCTTTCTTGCTTTTTTTGTTGAGTGTGCAGAAATTACAAATTACATCAATTCAAAATTTAGTTATACACAAATTAAACACGTTTAAATTACACAAAATTCATAGTCTAATCTAAGATAGCGTCGTCAGTTAAGAATTTTTGTCGCGCAATATTATTGACGCACGTGTATTCGATGACCGTTTGGCGTTCTGCCTGAATAGTTTAATTTGCGTCTCCTAGCAACAGCGGAGTCACGCGACCTCGCAAGTGCCTCCACATTCTTATAGTGGACGCGCCGACGTTAATAACCCGTCACAACAAGCTGGAATTGCATGAATTACTCTCAATTTCTATTCGATTCTTCGATAAATTGAACAGTGTCGCTCGATAAGGCTGCGGTCTCCTAAAAACGCTGCCTCGTACATTCGATTATATTTGTCTGCTAATGGACGTACTGACTGATCCAGAAGGGGGCGGAATTCATGACTCCATGAGTGAGCTGCTTCCTGGACTTAGGTGGACCACTAATAGAACATATAGATTTTATTTATAAATTATGATGTTTTAATTTCTTCAAGTATACAGTTAAGAATAAATGTTTTAAAATAAAGTACAGTACAGTGTACTCTAAACTTTTTGGCCGGGCTGAAGTTTGCGCGGATGTTTGCGCAGAACGCAAAAAGCAGGTATTAGTTGCGAGAAAGGGGGTGCGCGGGGACTCGACTTTTTGCTTAAAATTGACTGTACCATGCGCAAGATGGCGGTCGCGCTAACTTCAGCCCGGCCAAAAAGTTTGGAGTACACTGTACGTTTATGTATGTGCTAAGGTCTCGTCTCAACTGACCCCCTCCTGGAAAGCTGGATCCGCCCTTACTATGGCGCCTCGTTCACCATACTGGAGAGGCTATTTTTTTCTTCAATGTATGCTTTAAATTTCGATATAACTAGACACGCTGCTCTTCCTAATGTCAATGCATTTACAGCGATTATAGCTGACCGCAGCCTCATGCGAGCCAAAAATACATTTTTATTGCTACATGAATTAGGGTTATTATTAAATGGTATGACGTTCAAGGATCTGTGATCTTTGGTAAATGACAACAATAAAATGTTGAACTTTTTCGTTTTTTCTTTTATAATACGACTACAATGAGATACTAAAATAATACGCACGATGCAGTTTTCATTTGTCTTTATTTTAAAATTTCATTCAATCAAATGACAGTATATTTTAGTATAACAATAAATAAATCTGATTCTTTAGGTATAGACATAAGAATATATTATAATGATTTTTCTGTACACAAAATAAAACCGATCCGTTTACCCATACCAGTATCACATCGTTAGGTTTGTGTACTTGCGTGTTACCCATACTTTGAAATACAATATATACTATAATTTCGCTAGGCAATATCTATTTTCATTTTGTAAGAAGCGACCTAGTCTTGCACAAATTTAATTATACTGCTTTATATCTCCTAACTACATTTTCACACATTAAAAACTTACAAAATAATAAAAATACAACCTGGACCGCATCTTATTGCCCCGGTAAGGAATGATAGGACCAATTTTTACCAGTCGCAAAACTTACAGTCCGTATGGATTTTTTTACATAACAATAAAACACTAATTATTTAGTCTTTTAGAAGGGATAGAAGAAATTTGGTTACATTATCTTGCTGACTCCAAACAATAGAATTGGAAACATGAATTCCGTACACAACAACACATCGTACAAACCTGTTTAATATTGACAGAAAAATAGACACTGTCTTTTAATTTGTACCTTTCTATCCCCTAAAGAAATGACAGCGCGTCATAATATTATCAAAGTGTAATTTAGTATTACTAAACATTCTCTAGAAGCTACATAATGAGAGAAGATGATAACTATAATCTATGAGTTTAGCACAATCACCCATAGATAGTGACACGAAAATAGTTTCAAGCCTAGAGACTTATGTAAACTCAAATGTTGGTACAACCCATTGGTCAATTACAACTTTAATTATTCAAGACAGATTAGAAACAGTGAGACAACAGATTTCCAAAAATATGTTGGTTTATCCTTCGCCTTGTAGAGTATTTAAAAATTATTTTAAAACCCTGTTAACTTTGTTGGCTTGACGTAAAACATGACCCATAGGAATGATTCGTGCAAACTAATGAGATGAGCTATCTTATAATCAATAAAATCTTACGTTGAACGAAGCTTAACAAGATCGCACTAACATTATATAGTTCTGAAGGAATTCCTTAAAACAACACGTTGAGAGCAATATTTTTATAAAATCAACAATACTATAAAATATTCTTTATAAGTAAATATTCGAAAATACCACAAAGGAACAAAATACTTCAATCAGTCGAACAATAAAACGAACTTGGTCTAACATATAATTTAGAAATTTATTACGTTTAATTTGGTAGACCTTTGAGCTTTTTGCTTTACAATAGGGAATATGCATGATTATTATTATTAATATTAGTAATTTGTATCTTTGTTTTGTAAAAACAAAATATAGAAAAGTGTCAAACAATTTTTCTCTTGCTCAATAAAAAAGAGTGAAATTGTTTTTTTCTTGTTCGATGGGACGTAACTTAATTTCGAACAATTTTACTTTCTAAGGTAAAATAAGAATTCTATCACAATTATCGTAAAAATTCACGTTTGTCTGTAGAATTCGCATGCACATTCCCCCTTCTCGTATGTATTTAACAGTGACAAATCTCGAAACATAAAATTTCAATTTATTTTTCACGGCATATGTAAAACAAAATGCCGTTTTTAAGTCTGACATAGACTAATATTCGAAAGTGGTTGATGTAGGCACTACTTCCAATACCATCTGTAGAAACACCGTTATCTTATCTGTGGACAAATATTTTATCATTTTTCAGTGTGGAAACCCTAAAAATATACGGCTAGACTGATTTTAATGACTCGTGTAAATTTGGGAGATCTGTGATTAGCAGGTACTAATGCATTTGTGGTAAATAATAAAAAGTTTAATATTGGTATACCTACACAGTAAATTATGTATGTCACAGGCTTTTGTGTCCTACCCGACCTATAATTTCCCAAGAATCTACTTATAATTCCCCAAGTTTACCTGCATTTCTTGCAACCATAAGCAATTTTACTATGATACTTACCCATAAAAGGCAAGGAGTACCCCCACTTGACGAAGGGCAAATACACGAGACCGCCGCCAAAAATAAAGGCGGCCGCATACAGATACTCCCACTGAGGTTTGTCTATGATCGGTGCTACCACTAGGTACGTAGATACTATCAGCACGATGTACGGAATTATTATTGGCACCTGTTGAGTGATAAAAACTTTTTAGTCTCCTTTTACTGGAAACCAGAATAATGTAAAACAAATTTGTAATTGTAAAAGTGAATTGTGATATAGCATAAGAATACTCTAGTAACAAAACAGAGTAAGCTGTCATCTGTTAGAGTCACAGATAATAAAACAAGAAAAAACAAGTAAAATATGAAGTTACATTCTATGGACTTCATAAGAGAAAACATTGTCCTTTTTATTACTTCAGAAAATTTAATAATATGTTCCAATAATTAATATGACAACTATTGAGTAATAGTATTTTTCAAATACTATTAACGGTTTGTTCTTTACGATATTTCATAATTTTAATTGTTCTCAATTATTTGATATTGTAATAGATCGAATTAAAAACTGTGTTTTTAAAAATTGTGCAATTATTTCTATTTAACTAAATATACATATGTACGGTCCATGTGCGAATTAAAAGTATTTGTTTCTTTTCTGCTTACTGTTTGAAGTCGACTATTTCTTTTTAAGAACTAACACAGTTACCTTGTATGGCCTGGGCGCGTGAGGTTTGGTTTTCCTCATAACAATGAGTGCTAACATCGCACCGCCATAAAATATCCACGCAGTGAATGAGAAGAAGTCAATCAGGGAATCTATGGTGCCGTACAGCACCATGGCCACAGCTATCAAGGACTAGAACATAAAAAGTGGAGAATTAATATACATCACTAATCTATACTAATATATAAAGCGCAAGAGTTTGTTTGTTTGAACGCGCTAATCTGAGAAACTACGGTTTCAAATTGAACAATATTTTCTGTGTTGGCTAGACTATTTATCGAGGAAGGCTATAAAACATCGCCTTGAGCGAAGATACAGCGAGAAATGTGAAGAATTAGGAAAATTAATCATCGTTATGAGTTTCCGAGGCGTACGCTGCATAAACGGTTGATGGTACCCAAAAAATATGTACGAATCAATGATTTCTCTATAAATGATCTAAAATATGTTTGCGACAGTATATGTCTATCTTTTGAGATAAGCTTGCAAGAACGACAAGTTTGCAAAAACAAATTCTGATGGCCAAAAGAACAATTCTACGCCGACGATGTCTCTGGCATAGCTAGTTAGTATATATTTCCTGAAACTGTTTACTGCAATTAAAATCAGCTTCAATTAATTGTGATCGTTAACGTGTCGTACCGACCGAGAATATCTAAGTACATTTGTTATATTTCCTACAGATTCGGGCCAACAGAACATACATTGTTATTTTATTGCTTCAGATTAAAGCATACTTACGTAAAATAAGGTTGATCAACAGCTCTATCACAACTCTAATTAAGACGGTGGCCAAGTACGTATTGGCAGATGACACTTTCCGAATTTTGGATATAAGACGGAAATCGAACTGCTAACGACGAATTAAGTCGACTTCAAGCATTGTCTCTAATTTATGCAAGTGGTACACATTGTGTTGAAAACGCGAAATATAATTGTTAAGCGGGGGTTTAGCCCAACTAAACAATACAAATATTTAAAAACAATGTTTAGTAATTATGATTTGTGCTGCTTTATTCATGAATTCCTAATTACAAACTAAGCCCTGAAACTTAGCTTTAGTAATTTTACTATTTAAGCATGTTTTGTTTAGCTATAATTATTACATTTAACTTATTATTTTATTTGTATAAAAAACTGCGGTGTGAGTAATGTAACAAATGTTGGTGAACTTATAAATAAATAAATAAATCACAGCATCAGAAACGTCGACTCGCAGTTAAAGTAAGAGATTAAAATAAGAACAAGTTATATAATATATGTCACGTTTAAAACCGTTGAAATTGTTTTATTTCACTCGACCTTCATAAAATTTGTGGCCATGTTCTATTATGACTTGAATAAGTTATTTCTTACAGTTTGACGTGGGAGAGTGATAAGTGATAATTACATGGAAAATCAATCCTGGTGCTGGTGTGAAACGGCGCACGTGTACATACGACAGTATATCCAAAAGGTGACCTTCACGGGATGCCGCGAAGCACAATCTGTGTAACAAATATAACTTATACTTATGTGATGCCGACATTATATTTACTTTACAAAAATAAATGTATGGGAATTTTGGGCAACCATAACAACTTTGTTATTCAAATATCGAAATAAAATCTGAACTATATATGGAATCGTATTATAAAAACACGGGCTATTTCGAAGGGTAGCACTGTTCGGCTAATAATCAATGTGTCGTGGATTCGATCGTCATCGATTAGAAAAATGTTTGCCCTAGTGGAGATTTCACACAAAACATCTAAACTCACATATTTCTGTCAATAAACTCATTTAATTTTTCGCACTTGGCATCAAACCCAGCGTTTGGCAATAAAATACAATGTCTTACCTTCCTGCTACAAACAAAGTGCCGTTCGCCGAGCCAAAAGTGGATATTGTGACCGCCAGTGGCATGAGCCAAGCCATGGGTCCAAGTAGTCGATTGCCGAATGTGACGGCCACCGCTTCACTGTCTGCCATTTCGCTGACCGACATCACAGCCAGATACGACACGTTCACCAGCGCATAGCACAGGGTAACCAGCGGGATCCCAATGATAATACTTAAGGGCAGATTCCTACGAGAGTGGGTGATTATGAAAATATAGTATTAATTAAAAATCGATTATAAATTTAAAAAGTCACAACGCGGGCAGGTTTATACAGTTATCAACAGGTTGAAAAAAATCGACGATGACGTGTAGGACACAGTAGCTCATTTGGTTAGAGCAACAGCACGGAACGCCGTGTATGCCGATCAAGTCCAACCATGTAGTATTTAAAAAAAAATAAAATCGATTTTTAACTGATATAGTGCCATCATGTGCAATAACATGTGAAAAATATTATAGTTTTTAAACAAAAATACAGTTTACAAAGTAGTTGAGCGTGTCTGGTCAATTACATGCTTGATATGTGATGCGATCTTCTAAGAATGAAACTAATCTAATGCCTTGAACTAGTGGTTTTGAAGTATTTAAATAGCCTAATAAACAATACACATTCGTTTTGCTGTAACCAATTTGCGATAATTAAGAAGACTGGAGTTAATAGATACTAGATTCAAATTGTGAAAAAAATATTTCAGTTAAGTAGGGCGCAAAAGGTCTACTTGTCTAATAATAACATAGATAATTGAATGGGACACAAAATTGTGTCTCCCATCTATAAAACGGATGTACTTTAACTTTAATTAAATAAAGAATTTAAGGTACACCATAAATAAAAACCAAACGCAATTTTGTACGTTTTTACACTAACGTACTGGCGTTTGATATGTATTTTACTGTAAAGATATTCAGCCTTCCTAAACCTACCCTTTGTGCTTACTTACTTGGATGGATTCTTAATTTCTTCAGTGACATAGTTGAGGTTGTTCCAACCATCATAGGCCCAGAGGCCCGTGTAGAATGCGGTGGCAATGTTGCCCAGGGTCGCCGTGCTACTGGCGAAGTTAGGCTCCTGTAAATGTCGCGTATTACCTGCACCATACGGACACAACTCCTGTCAGTCTACATCAAGTATTTCTCCCCCCTTTATGATTATGGTAATGATGTATGAAGACTATATTCATTCTAGCTGAATTTTATGTCGATGAATGCTTTGGAGAATTACTACAATTTGTCTAATATAGAATGATATGTTTGGCAATTGACAAAATGGATTAGGTAGTATATAGTTCGTCCATTCCATATAAATATACGGCTATTAGACATTTATACCTGATATATTATAGTTATGTATACAAAACAACGTCTTGTCTTATTTGAATTGTGAATTTTTCGTCACATAATCATTCGCAAGTAATTTTACTTACCAGACAGCAATCTATAAGTCATCTGTAATGTTTTGCAATAATTTGGAGAAAAAAGAATTAACTGCGAACTGTCAAACTATCATCCTATATTGGACGGGAGTGATATTCTAAGAGTCAAGTTTCAAAGTACAAATATGTAATGCACAACCACGTACAGTCGAAAGCTTTTATTACCTTGTATCAACTTATAAGCTCCTCCACATACAATTATGGCGATGGCCACCAGCTTGGCCGCTGTGAAGATGTTTTGGACATTCGTGGCCAAGTTCACGCTATAGCAATTCACGGCAAGTATCATCACTAGAAAATAGATGCGATGAAAAATTAATTATTTAAAAGCGAAGGTTCAATACCAACAATAGGTCGATAGTGTATCTTATTAATACGAGCTACATAAATAGCTGGGTTATTTTACCTTCCATCGAGTGCTTGTCTGTCCTCCTCCATTAAAAAAAACTAAGTATACATGCAACAGTCGTTGAGAGTACAAAATTACTTGGATACACCAGCTCTTATTTTATTTTACAGATAGAGGTGCAAAGACAAGCTTGGACATTGAAATGTTCTATTTTTAAATAATTTAATTGAGCTGCGTTATCCTTTAGCTTAAATAATTTGGAAATCCATACACAGAAATACGACTTTATACTTCCCGCTGTTTCCCGAACAGTCAAATTTTCTAGACTTAGGATGTATAATTTTCAATTAGAAAAGTCTTCACATTAATGTACCGGGTAGGAATTAAACCCGCTAGGTAACTGGATCAATGAGCACTGTTACGTATCATTCATCCTCGGGTCAAAATGCAATTAAAAGTACACGCAATAAAATAATACTTTTTATATTACCAATAGCTATGACCGCCACTAGTTTGACCAGAGCATTGGGTGGTTCGCATTCAGACACAAACGGTTCTACCGCATACTTTGCGAAGCTCAAGCAGATGATAGCCATTTGTGATGGTTTCAGAACCAGCGTAGATACCTAGAAGAATACATGTTAAGTCAAAAACTACCTAAACAATGGATAGAACGAAATTGTTATAGCCCTATGGGCCTGACATTCATAAACTGATGACTTGTCATTAAGAAGGATGCTTTAAGGTCCGCGATCCTTACTAATATTATAAATACGAAAGTAACTCTGTCTGTCTGTCTTGTTATTCTTTCACGCCAAAACTACTGAACGGATTTGAATGAAATTTGGTACACAGATAGTCTAGACCCTGAGAAAGGACTAGAAAGACTACTTTTGATTGCGAAAAGGGGGTTGTAAGGGGTTAAAAAGGGGGTGAACGTTTGCATGGAAATTCGTGGTTTTTGAAGCTAGAATAAGAATTTTTGGGAACAAAAGTGGGTCTGGGAGTGAGAGTGAGAGTGGAAGTTAGAGTAGGAGTGATGTGAGGTGAGAGTGTTGCGACAAAGTAGCACATACAAAATAGATTGGCTGCGATAAATGCGAACTTACATAAATTAATAAACAGCCTAAATAATCAAAAAATTCTACCCCAAGTCACTATTCCACGCGAACGAAGTCGCGGGCACAGCTAGTAGTTATATAAATAGACACATCATTGAAAACATAGTTTGTCTAAACGATGAAAGAACAATGGGAGCTTTAAATGATATATAATTATAATCTGTGGCTATAATCTATTAAGGTAGGAATGGTCAAAGCATTACTTGTTTAATTGTGTTCACTTAATAGAAGGTGGCTTTGGCGCGATTAAGTTTCACAGTTTTTTATCTGTGGACGGTCGTTGTTGACGCGGGCGGACTTCAATATTCCTATGATTGTTGATATTAGATATTCCACCCATTTATTATCCAGATTTGCAAATGCAGTCCAACTTGTTTCAGAAAAATTATAAATTGATTAGAAACATTTTTGAACCGGTGGGAATCGAACTCGTTGATTATTATTAGCCGTACATTGCTATCTTTATACCAAACAAGCCTGCAGTTACATCTCGCATAGGGCACCGGTCGAAACTAACAACGACCGTCAATACTGCAGCGGCACAAGATGAAAAATTACAAGTAATTCAAAAGTTTTGAGGCTCTTTTCATCAGACGTCCATAATATAACATACCCATGAAAACAAAAATGCGGGCGGTCCCCCAAACGCGTCCATGAAGTATGCGTATTCAGCTCCAGACGACGTGTTCATTGTCCCCAATTCTGCATACGCCAGCGCTCCTGGACATATAAAGCAACAATTATATTACTGAAAACCACATATAGATCAGAAGAGGTATTTCTGAGATTTGCGCGACAAACGCACAAATAATCAGACAAAAGACAATAATTCCAAAAACCATTGTTTTAGAACCGATTATGTTGATACAAGTCTTGTAACTTATGTACAGACAACGATCGGTTACATTTTTACATGTATAGATGAGATTGAAATATATTTATTTTAATTATGGAGCATCTTAAAGAAACTGCATGACAAAAAAAAAATGAACTTTCCTATTATTTGTCATAATATAAAAATAACCTTATACCTACATCTTGAATGAAAAGGTATCGTGAAACAGACACAGTAATGTGTCTATCCAATATAACTAAAGTGGCAACGGAATTTTATTATCTAGACACACGCCTACGCGTCAAGCCGAGACCTTTATACGAACCATTTGGTGCCACGTTTAACCTTTCTATAACTTTAAACCTATTTAACGTTAACACATGACACTACATGTATTTAGTCATATCCATAAAGACACCTAGAAGCCAAAATTTCATGAAGCTTCGCCATTATTTTTACGGTGAAGCCAAGCATAATTTTGTTTTGAACTTGGCTCTCCTTTTTCACATTTTTGTTTTTCGGGGGATATTGATTTAACAATATAATTACCCAGCAATGACAGTAGGCCACAAGCCATCCATATTATGAAGCTTATGCCCACTGAGCCTGTGCGCTCCAAAAGCCCAGAGGGCGAGACGAATATACCAGATCCTGAAAACAAAAATATGTTTATTATATGAAGAGGGAGGATAGATAAGGCTGGCGTTTATTGTATGGATTATTGATGAAAACCCCTTATAACATTTTACATCCATGACTTAACAAAATAGGTCGACAGCGGCCTATATATTTTGGATATTCAGAAAACCACAGTCTGAAACCAACACGCGAGTGTCTGACGTTAATTCGTGACCCGTATAGAAATTCAACATTCCTGTTCATATGTTCAAAAACTGATTTTGTCAAAACATGTTCGACCTGTTGGGAATCGAAGCCACTACCTGCTAAACATTACCCATTCATTGTTTCCATTAGCAACAAGCGTTAATAATATAAATTATAAATCAATATCTTCATTATTATATTTATCATGTGCTGGTATAAATATTTTTTACATACCGTCATCCGATTCTTTGTAATCGACGAATCATGTTTCTATTGAGTCATCTGAATACACTTAACACCTGATGCAACTAATATGTGGGTATTAAATGCGCATGCGCAAAACGCATTTTGCACTTTTGAAATTTGATAGGTGGTTATAAAGTACATTGTAAACGCTTTATGATAATTTTATTTCTAGTTGTATACCTATTCTTAAGGAATATTTATGCAAAACATATAATACAAATAGACTTTTTATAATCGACAAATATATTTGTATCTATTTTACGGATAAACACTTTAAGGAGTTTTGTTCAGTGTACCAACATAAAGACATTTATTTTAAACTAGTATCTAGCAAGAAATCTGAATTACAAATCTATACTAATATTATAAATGCGAATGTAACTCTGTCTGTCTGTTTGTCCTGCTTTAACTCCGATACTACTGAACTGATTTAAATGAAATTTGGTACACAGATATTTTAGAGCCTGAGAAAGGACATAGGCTTTTTAATGCCAAAAAAGAGTTGATAGGGGTTGAAAAAGGGGATGAAAGTTTGTATGGAAATTCGTGGTTTTTGAAGCTAGAACAATGAAACTTTCTTCTTAGGCTTTTTGGGAATAGGAGTGGGAGTGGGAGTGGGAGTGAGTGTAGGAATGAAAGTGGGAGTTAGAGTAGGAGTGATGTGAGGTGAGAGTGTTGCGGCAAAGTAGCACTTACAACATAGATTGGCTGCTTTAAATGCGCCCTTACATTAATGAATAAATAGCCAGTATAATAAAAAAATCTACCCCAAGTCACTATTTCACGCGGACGAAGTCACGGGCACAGCTAGTATATCATAAACAAATGAGAATTACGAAAATAGCGGTGAAAACTTATTTAAAAGATATTTGCATTTTATGTTTTACACTATTGTTTGTACCTAGTTCTTCAAGTTCTAGTCTTACTACCATAAAGACAATAGTTTTACATAATATTTACCTACTCTTTAAATATCTATGCTCTCATGGAATATTAAGTATTACGATAATAATAACTTAACATGTCACCTTTTAACTAATAATAATACAAAAGGTAATTTTATTATAAGTAACGTCGTGCATCTATAAGCGATTTGTAATATCTTTGTAATACCATATATTGCCTTAAAAAGTGTTTTTAAATATTAACTTGATTTAAATCTCATTACACAGGCAGGATTCTAACCCGCTACGACTTTTGATAAGCAATTTAAGTTTACACGTGCAATATGAAGTTTCAAATAATTTTAATAAATAAATAGTTCTTTATTTATGGCATTAACAGCGTTCTGTGCTGTTGCTCTAACCAATAACAACAGAGACAGCAGATTCAAGTCCTACCCGTTTCGTTTATTTTTTTGAATCTAAAATCGATTTTTAACTTATATAGTGCCATCATGTGAAAAATATTAAAATTTTCAAAACTTGCGTATGAATTTTCATCTTACCAATCATAGTTCCGACGATTAGAGCCACCCCACTGAAGAGTCCCACCCGTCTCTTGAGGTGAACAGGGTCGTCCGGAGCTGCGTCCGACCCCTCCAACTAAAAAAAAAACAAATTAACAGACCGAAAAGTATTTCCTATCTAATGCAGCCAGTTACAGCGCAGTTAAATATTTACCAATAATCGAATTGAAACGTAACAAGCGTGGGAAACTGTGCATGAAAATGCCGCAATATTTGCGCGAGTATTCCTAGAACTTGGTCAAGGACTTTGAAATACGTTCATTACAATATGTATAACGTAGGATACTGAAATTGCGGACGCTTGAATGAGATCTAGAGAGATTCTTGTGATGATCGAGTGGTAGGTGTTGGAAAGAAATAAAAGGTCTCCCCGTGACCACGGCTGCTGCAAAGCATCCGAAACGTCGGGCCGAAGTTCAAAATCATTTTCAATTAAGTTTAACTAATATATCGCGTTTAAACCGTTGAAGTGTTTTATTTTAAAGGGATAAAAGCTCAAACTTAAAACAATAAATATTCACTAATGAGATGTAAAGATACAGTGATGTGGAGACTAGATAAAAAGACGATTATGTATAAATTAAATGTATTTAATTTATACATAATCGTCTATAAATGTGCATTTATCTATGGTAAAAGGCATCTATCTACCTTTGGTCAAAAACCGATTTAGTTTTTCGCAGAAGTAATGTTTAAAACCTCGTAACAAAACAATCTTGTTTGTCAAACTTAGCGTATGCATTTTTTGACTAAGTGGTAGCATAATCAAACATGCTTTAATTATAAATTAAAACTATAGTTTTTTATAACTTGTGTATTTATAACATCATTTAGTTATTACTCCCTGTATCTACAATTTATTCGATCTTAAAAAGAAGTTATTTTTTTAAATAAATACAATCTGACAATATAATAGTAGTTAACATTTTCTGGAGTGATTTATGCAAAGTGGAATTGCTAACAGTACTAAATGCTTTGATATCATTTTCTAAATATTCCTCAAGAATCTTGAACTGACCTTGTCTCCTGGGTTGGCGTTTCCGTCGGTGAGCGCTCCCGTCGTGCCGTCTTCGGCGTCGCAGCCGGCGGAGCACCCGCGCCATACCAATCCGCCTTCGCGTGCGCTCCCTGAAAATCAATCGATGACGTTTAATATTGCAGCCATATGTGTTAAAACTCAATAAGAACTTTTTGCTAGTTTCTTTAACCAAATTTGAATTTAGAACATAAGTACATTTAAATAAAATTAAAATATATTTTGCTGTCACAGCTCTTTACTTATTCTAGACTAATCGCTCTTCTAGACTAATATTACAAAGCAGAAGTGTTTATTTTGTTTAGACGAAAGATTAGCGAATCTCTGGAATTGCTGTTTCGAATTGAAAAATTATATTAGATACGGTTGCTATAAAACATCAGAAGCCGACGAATAGGAGCGAAGAAACATAGATGAATGTTGAAAAATGGAAAAAAATATTCATATTCGAGTTTTTCCATTGCGTGCGCCGCGAAATTAGTTCAAGATGCCAAAAAATATGTATACAAAAGAAGGATTCTTCAATAATAATTGAAACAAACGACCGTAGTAGCGTATCTTAGCGACCGTAATTTATCTTTTAAAATTAACTCACAAGAACCGTATTTGTGGTAATAAGTAATATTTCGTCGGAATACTTCATATGGCGAACTAACGATTGCTAGATCAGCTAGTTGTATATACAATTCAGTAGTCAATGTAATAAACACAACAACATATATAAATAAAATTATACAATTTAAACATCTCGGCGAGTTGTAAGTACCTTAACAGTTTTTAGAAGCCATAAATCGACTGTAAATGATCTCCGATCAAAAACAAAGCACGATCACAATGATAGTTGCCAAGAAATAATAATACATTTAACCAACGCAATTGGGATTATGTGATACAAATAGCTACAATGACTAAAAGAAAAAATCCGAGTTATTTTAATTGCCGTTACATCGTTATACCGAAATGACGTGGTGTCTGTGTCCACTTGTCCAGTGATTAATAATAAAAGATAGAGATAAATACTGTCTATAGTTTACGCGAGTAGTACACATTTAAATAAAACACTTTAACGGTTTAAAACGCGATATATTAGTTAAACTTATTTGAAAATGATTTTTAACTTCGGCCCGACGTCTCCCCGTGACCACGGCTGCTGCAAAGCATCCGAAACGCGGCCGAAGTTAAAAATCATTTTCAGTGTTTTATTTAAATAGATTGAGATAAATTGAGTATAGTTAAATGAAAACTCTTTGCAGTTGTATCTTGTTAAGAATATATTAGTAATTAAATTATTTCCCGCGTAGACTTGCACAGCGAATCCCAGGTAGATTTTGTTCGGGCAAAACAGAAAAATCTGATCAATTTTTTGCCTGAAAAGTCGACCAGGCCACAGAATGTCCATACTTTACGTCCCTACGTGTCCTCCACGTCTAACCCTGAACAGGGCTATTAACGAACCTGTGACCCTAGTCCGTACGTAGCCCTATTCGTAGCAAGGAGATATTAGTATAAACTAGAATTATAAATACTATCCCAAGACCCTACGTGGCTTTCACACCTAAATCACCCTTAATAGGGTGATCTACCGCTAAAGGATATAATATAGATAGGACATAGATAAGACTTCATCGGTATTTGAACAGTGGCGGGCGACTGGTCACTAAAGGAAAATGGAAAAACAATTGGGTTGTCTCATGAATATTCTGTCTAAAGTAAAGAAGCACATTCTTATCTAATATATTAATCTTTTAAAAAGGAATTTTATATAAATAATTGTTTTGTTTCTTCTCGTTCTCAACCTATAAAACCTTGTACCATATCTATTCTGAAACTGCGTATTATTTTACGTTCCCGGATATACTAGGATCAGATCCGAACAAGATTTTTTTTATTTGTTAATATAGTTATAAAATTCAATATTAGTTAGCGATATGTTTAAACGTCGTCATGACACATTTTCTAAGCTATAGCTTTAGCTACTGAGCTACGCGTAGCGGGTAAAACTGCTTCTCGTCACGTAGGTGATGTTTATGCGGTTTTATTTGCATACATAATTCACATGTCACTTTAGACAACGTATTACACTCGGAAAAGGTTGAGATATTAATACCTAACATAACCATAAAACTACTTGAAGTGGGACGTTGAAAGGAGCAATATATTTCAAGATTGATGAGAATTCTCTTCTATGACGTAACTCGTCACGCGCCGACATTCTCCAGAGTCCGAAATAATTCAAAATACACAGAAATAAAGTCGGTTTAGATAATAAATTACATCTACGCGCATAAAATGCAAGGTAAACATTGTCCAATGGCAAAACTGGTACAAAGTCATAGTGGAGAGTTTTCAAAATCTCCGGTTTGTGTAAATTTAAGGACTGATTCCTTATATTTTTTATGATAATGGAGGTTAGACAAACATGGGGTTTACTCGATGGTACTTTAAGTACCCCAGCCATATAACATCTAAACCAGATACGCTGTCGGCCTATTTTGGTTGACGTAACATTTGAAAACTTTATTATTTTTTACATGTTATTGCACACGAAGGCACTATATAATTTAAAAATCGAAGTCCGAGTCCTAATCAATCTCGGTAGCTCAATTGGTAGAGCAACAGCACGAAACGCTGACTATGCCGGTTCAAGTCCTGCCAGAGTCGAAAATTTTTTAAATTTATTTTCGATTTTTAAATTATGACGTAACATTTTCATCAGTATTTAACCTAGGTCCCTCTTGATTTGCAGTCCAGTGCACTAACCACTTAACCATTAATTATATGTCCACAATTAAACTGCATGTAAGATTTTTTTCTCTTTTAAGTTGTATGTATGATTATGTGGTCATAATATTCGGTACGGTTTGTGTATATTTTTTTAATTAACGAAATGAAATGTACGGTACGTACACACAATAAACAAGCACATACGCTTGTTTATTGTGTGTACTTCGTTTTATCTTTTTGTTTTAAACTTTTTTTAATTTTCGCTGTGCAGTTAGGTACATAAGAATCGTCAATATTATAGTTAGATTATCTAATATTCTTAAATATAAAAAAAAGTAAATTTTTGTTTTGTCAAAAAAAATATTAGATACTTTAAAATTATATTTATACAAATATGAGAAGAAAAGAGATATTTTGTTTAAATAAAACAATTTTAACGGTTTAAAACGCGAAATGTTTTAGTTTACTTGTGGCCACGGCTGCTGCAAAGCATCCGAAATTCATGCATTTCGTTAATTAAAAAAATATTATAAAAATAAAGAAATAATAATTAAAAGCATAAGTTTTAGATGGTTTTTTTTTTAATACTTATTAAATCAATTAACCTTCATCTGAGAAGAACAACACAGATGAGAAACCGCCATTTTGCGATTTATCCGGGTCCGTATGCGCCGTTGCGCGGACAGAGTTCTTGAAGAGAGTGGCAATTTTGTCACGCATCGCATCGCATATGCGACCGTGCGACTGCGCAGCGGGCGCCGGCGCCAGTGCCGACTCCAATGATACACTGATAAACGCGAGCCAACCACTTTATTTCGTAACACAAGACCGTCAATGTCGCACTATTGATTGAAATATCAATGAAAACTTTTAAATAATCTATTAAACCGAAAAAATCCGTACAATTATTTATTTATTACCACTTATTGCTTTAGTTAAGGCACTATTATACGTAACGTACAATGTACGTGACAAATGTCAGCGCTGGTTCAGGGCGGACTGGCTATTCTTGGCGCTACCGAACACGTGGGCGGGCGAATCTCCTCTTCGCCGCCCGCCCGCCGATCAATGGGCACGCGATATGACACCTGCTGTGAAGTCCTTATAGATAACCTTATATCCGTAGCATCCGTGTTCTGCTGTACCACGGACCGTATATGACTAACCAGCAATTTTTTTTATATCAGACTAGGTGTGCGCGCGTCTTCGTCCGAGTGGAGTAGTTATTTTGGGTAATATATTTATTGTTGCATTCACTCCCAGGATTTATAAATTATAGATATTACCTACGACGTCAGTCGCGTCCTTCATTCTTGACACGATCTTGTCGCGAATTTTTTTTTCATTATTTAATGAAGCTTTTATACTTTCGCGCATATTTTTGCGGCTCACGCAACGGATGAATATTTTTTTCCATTTTTTTTTCCACATTTCCCCCTGTTTCTTCGCTTCTATAATGTATAAAAACAATGTAGTGCCCCACTATCAAAAATTAAAGTAAGTATTCAGAAAGATTTATCAAAGGTTACTCATCAGCAGATACCCTCGACAGACGAACGCATTGTTCGACAGTTGGCACGAATCGTAATTTATCGTATACAGATATCAACGTCTTTCAATACCGTTAATTGCTTGAATATATTTCGCTTAAAATATTTCTTTGTTTACTTACGATTTTCGAAACTTAAAACTAGTAATTTAGTTAAAATGTCGAGTTTGTGTCCTATTTAGATGGTAACTAACGTCTTAAAAAATGTAACACGGACGGAAATCGAACCTCAACCGTAACGTATGTGACCAAAGAATATGTCATTGCATTTTTATATAGAATTCTCTCGCATGGTTAAAGTTCATTGAAAACTTTTAAAACAACGCTATTGAAAGCCAGATAGGATAAATATAAAAAAAACATAGCTGCCAACATGTGGTTAGTTGTCCGCAAATATAATGAAATTCAATAAAACACGTTGATACGCCAATTATATTTATTTTTATAAAATGTCGGCGATTTGGTATTTGTTACATATCTTAAAGCACTGTTTTTAAAGATTGGTTCAAATTACATTTATTTACGTTCTATTAGCGGACGTAAGCTGACTGACATTATTGACTATAAACAAATCCATTGTTTTTGGAAGTTACTTCATAATTAACATGATAATTATTAATAGGTTGGTAAAACTGCTTGAGGAACACATATCAAACGCTGTTTTGCATTTAAGGAATATTGTATTTCAACGGATTCATCGATAAATTCGTTTACATCGCAATAATTGAATCCCTACCTACAACGTAATTAAACATCACTCGTGACTTATATTTTTAGCTCAAAGATCTACAGAAAGTGACGTGTGTTTGACGATGTAGG